GGATATGAAATTCCGCTTCCCAGACCCTGCCTTCTCAGCTTCCGTCCACGGTCTCGATTACCCTTGACATATAAGCTATCAGCTTGAGAGCTTTCCCCTACATTCTGCTTCTGTTGGTTGTGAGACAATAAGGCTGTAGTAATCTCCTCAACTTTGATATTTGCTTTCCCATATGTAAGAGTAGTCACCATGTGTTCGTAAGAGGGAGGCAACGAACACAATAAAATCATCGCTTTGTCTTCATCCTCAATTTTCACATCAATCCGAGCCAAATCAGAAACGATTTGATTGAATACATTCACGTGTTGTGCCAAATCATGATCGTCCTACATCTTCAGCCCATACAGTCGCTACTTTAGATACAGTTTAGTCGTTAAGGATTTAGACATAAACTGACTTTCCAACTTCTTCCAAATTTCATCTGGAGACGACAGATGCATGACGTGATACATGACCTCGTCCGCCAAACATAATCGTATGGTTCCTGCCGCTCTCTGCTACAATTCTTCCTAATCTTCCTCATCCATCGACGTCGGCTTTGTATGTCGCAAAGCCTTCAGGATCCCTTGCTACGCCAACAGATCCTTCACCCTTGTTTACCATAATCCGAAGTTACCCTAACCATTGAATTTCGCAACTTTGAATTTTTCTCCTGACATCTGATACCAATTGTTGAATAATCGGGTAAAGAAAACGAAAGAACACAAGAATTTTAACGAGGTTCAGCAATGTGCTTACGTCCTGGGTGCCTAGGCGGCGCTAGAAGTTTTATTCAATGTCTCATAGGTTTAGGTTACATCTCTATTTAAAATAAATAAACCCTAGTACATAATTACAAAATTAACCATGTACCGTACCGCGGGGATGCGCCCTCGCACCCCCAACCCACATAATCGTAACCCCACTACGAGACTTTCTTTGTTTACCGGTATATTTATGAGTCATACCTAACATAAATTAATTATAACACTCCCCTTATGTTTGTATTTGGTTTGCAATTCATTTAATGTTTGTTTGATTAATAAAATGAATATGAGAGTCTTCTAGTTCAAGGGGTAAGGAAAGGAATGGTGGAAACTAAGCAAGGAACTTCCATTGATGTTTTCTGTATTTCATAACTTTTAATGCCTTATTTGTTGGTATAATGCATGTTAAATGTTTTGAGTATCAAGTATACCAATTTATGAATGTGTTGTTAAACATGCAAATGAGGTTATATGACCCTACACATTTCCTATAAGCCTTAGTAATAGAGTAAAACCTTAAATGAGTGTTTATTGGGGGTATTAGAAGTGATTTCTTAGCTTGAAATGACGATTTTGGATTTTGGTTTCAAAATTATTCTTCTGGTATCAATACCGTATGAAATTAGAGTAAAAATCTAGGTAAAATATAAAGTATAAATAATATATATTAATATATCAAATGTTTAATATTTTTAATTAATTTGATCGGTTAATTTGGTAAAAACTAAAGTTTAAACACTCATAAGGCTAAGTAATATATAAATAATATATTTAATATATTTTGATTAATAAAGTTAATTAACCGATTTCGAATCGAATTAATCGATAATCAAAGTTTGAAATAAAATATTTAATTGTTAATCGACTGGATAAAAAAATTAATCGATTAATTAATAAAAAAAATTAATCAATTAATTAATAAAAAAAAATCCGATTCAATTGATTAATTTGATTAAAACGGAAATTTGAACACCCCTACTTGAGTGCATAAATTTTCAACAAATACATTTGGATTAAAAAGAATGAAAATATGAGAGTGTATGGTATAGTTTATTTCCAAAGCCCTAATTCCCTACAAACCGGAACTATATATTCCTGTCATACTCCCCTCACATTTTCCCTTGAAAACCCTAATAGCCGCATTCGCCTCCCAAAACGCCTTGGAAAATGGCCGGTGAAGGACTGGTTCTCCGCGGTACCATGCGCGCCCACACCGACATGGTCACCGCCATCGCCACTCCCATCGACAACTCCGACATGATCGTCACATCCTCACGCGACAAATCCATCATCCTTTGGCACTTAACGAAGGACGAAAAGACCTACGGCGTCCCCCGTCGTCGTCTCACCGGTCACTCTCACTTCGTCCAAGATGTTGTCCTCTCTTCCGATTCTCAATTCGCTCTCTCCGGTTCCTGGGATGGTGAGCTTCGTCTCTGGGACTTAACCGCCGGAACCTCCACTCGTCGCTTCGTCGGCCACACCAAAGATGTTCTCTCTGTTGCCTTTTCCATTGACAATCGTCAGATCGTTTCGGCTTCTCGTGATCGAACTATCAAGCTTTGGAATACACTTGGAGAATGCAAATACACAATTCAAGAAGGTGACGCTCATACCGATTGGGTTAGCTGTGTTCGTTTCAGCCCAAATACTCTCCAACCCACCATTGTTTCATCCTCGTGGGACAAAACTGTTAAAGTCTGGAACTTGACCAACTGTAAGCTTCGTAATACATTGGCCGGACACTCCGGTTATGTGAATACGGTGGCTGTTTCTCCTGATGGGTCTTTGTGTGCCAGTGGAGGAAAAGATGGAGTGGTTCTGTTGTGGGATTTGGCCGAAGGGAAGAAGCTTTACAGTCTTGACGCTGGTTCGATCATTCACTCGCTTTGCTTTAGTCCTAATAGGTACTGGCTCTGCGCTGCCACCGAGCAGAGTATCAAAATCTGGGATTTGGAGAGCAAGAGCATTGTGGAGGACTTGAAGGTTGATCTTAAGACTGAGGCTGAGAAATCTGACATCTCTGACACCGGAAACAAGAAGAAGGTAATGACGCTTTTTTATTGGATAATATTATAGTTAGAAATCTAAAATTTTATATTACATAACTATTATGATTGTAATTTAGTCAAAACATTCTCCGGTGCAACTTAAGTTATTGTCAACTGTATAACTTTTTAGAATTGGCAGATAACATTTAAAACTTGCATATGTTATTATCTAGAAGATTATTAATCGTATAACTTTTATGTTGGACACTGTAACATACACATAAGAACTATCCTTTCTTGTCCATTAGGGTAATGAAGGGGTTATGTTTCATTGTATTGCAAAGAAAAAAAATGAAGTGTTATGTGGTGGGATATTGCAGGTGATATACTGCACAAGCTTGAACTGGAGTGCCGATGGAAGCACCTTGTTTAGTGGGTACACTGATGGTGTAATCAGAGTTTGGGGAATTGGGCGTTATTAGATATGAGTTTTAAAGAGGTTTATGTTTCAAATGTTGAAGTATCTTTGGTTTATTTATGGTTGGATATTGAGGCGTTCGCCTGTTTCATCCCAGCTCTGTTCCTTCCCTGTCCTTTTGAATTGTGGTACAAAGAAATTTTGGAAGTGATGCTATTCATCTTCTTGTTTCTTATCAATCGAATGTCATCATCTAATCTTTGTAGTGTACTTTAGAAGTTATCTTATTTATTAACTATTTTAATAAAGATTAGTTGTTTGGAAGATAATTTTGGTGATAAAAGAAGAAGATGAATAATTCAATATATTTAAATGCAAAATTTAATAATTTATTTATTGTATAGATGGTATATAAGTGAATGGAATTAATGACTAGAGCCATTTAAACGAAATAGATCATGAGTTACTCGAGTTTGATAAGGTTAAAATTCAATTACTATTTGAATTGACTCAATTTGATTCAAGCTTGAAATCAAGCTTGAACTTGACTCGAGTTCTTAATGGGTCGAAACAGAGTACTTGAGCTTGTGAGTTACTTAATACTTGACTTAAAAAACTCGTGAGTAATTCAAAAAATATATACTATCTTATTTGTTTTTAAATTAAATTATCAATAACATTAATATTTATATATTATTTAGAAAAACAATAAAAAATTTTATGTATTTAAGATTTAAGCTTGAGTTCTAGCTTGAATTGTGCTCAAGTTTGAGCTTCAATTGAGCTAAGTTTTAAAATGTTTTGAGTTTAAGTTTTTTTGAGTTCGAGTTGAATTTTAATTTTTTATTTCAATTTTGAGTCAAATTCGACAATTTTAAGCTGCGAGCTTTTCGTGGGGTGTAAATGAACCAAGTTTGAATGAATAAGTTTGTGCTTGTGTTCGATTTATTTTTAAAGATGTTTATGTTCAATGTTCGTTTAAATTTTTAATATCATATTTGTGTTCATTTATTTGTTTTTAAAGGTGTTTGTGTCTGTTACTTTAGTGTTTGAAGTTGAGTGGGGGTGTAAATGAACCAAGTTTGAATGAATAAGTTTGTGCTTATGTTCGATTTATTTTTAAAGATGTTTATGTTAAATTCGTGTTCGTTTAAATTTTTAATATCATATTCATGTTCATTTATTTGTTTTTAAACATGTTTGTTAGTGTTTGTTTATATGTGCAAGCTAAAAAATGGAGAAACTATAACACTAGTGCTTAAGCTCTTTAAGTTTCATAGTTTAAACTTCAAATTTTAGCTCGTGTTCAGTTTAGTCCCTTCATTCACCTGTATTTAAACTGTAAACAAAATAAAAAGTAAACGAGCTTGATCATTAATATAAACGAACGAATTGATAAACTAGCTCATAAACGAAACAGACATCTATATTCGTGTTTGTTCATTTATTAAATAAACATAAAAATTTTGTTTATATTCACTTATTTAGTTTAACAAACGAATATAAAAAAATTATTCGTCGAACGTTCTATTTATTTACACCCCTAAATATATTGATTAAGATAATAATGATACAATACACATTTTATAATAAAATTAAAAATTATTATCTAAAAAGTTATTTTAACAAAATTTATTCATCACGTTTGAACTTTATCCAGATAAATAAATAAGGTGGCCGGCTACCACCGCCGAAACCATCCAAAATGCCACCAGAACGGAAACTGACACGTTGAATATAAAATAATTTCAACTAAACAAAACCCTTTGGAACCCAAGAATCATAAGCTATGGTTATGGCAACTGCTCTTCACATCACTTCCTCGAACCAATCAAGCTCTCTCAGAACAAAACCCATCAAATGTTCTCTCAATCGGCCATTTCTTTTTTCCCTAAACCCCTCAAATTCCAGCTTCCCATTTTCAATCCCTATGTCAAGAATTCAATGCAAGTCCCGGTTCCTTCTTCTACAACAAATTCTGGGTTCAAGAATTTGTTGGAAACTTTCACGGTGGAAGTTCATAAAGCTGAGAACAGACCACTCAATGTACCTTTGATTTCTCCTTTCACCATAGCCACTTCTAGGCTTGATAAGGTGGAGAACGTGGCCATCAAGATTGAGCTGAAAGATGGATGTGTTGGTTGGGGTGAGGCTCCGATTCTGCCCTTTGTTACGGCAGAGGATCAACCTACTGCCATGGTTAAAGCCAAGGAGGCCTGTGAGATGCTCAAGAGTTGCTCTTTCATGACCCTTGGGGCAGTACTTGGGGAGGTTTCTGATCTTTTGCCTGGACATCAGTTTGCTTCAGTGAGATTATATTCTCTGTTCTTTTCTTTTTCGACTCAGCGGGTATTTGTACTAGTAATGATTCATTATATGTTCATACAATGTTCTTATAAACGACTTAGATAAATTCTTTGTTTAGCAATTGAACTATGGATGCATTTTATGTAGAAGTTGGTCTCACCAGGGATGGACCCAGGGTGACCGATTCAAATTATAATATATTTTCTTTGTATTTTCTATTGATAATCTGATTTTGTACTCCGTAATATCTTATAAGTTCGCCCCTCCTCTAGCATAAAATCTTACATTCGTCCCTAGGATTTGGAATTCACATTTTGGCTGAATGAATCAGAAAGGGAAAGGAAAATGGGGGAAGTAAGATAGTGTATGGTTGCAAATTGCGTCTAAACATCTGAAACATATGTGCTTTTAGTTCTTGCATGTGAGAGGGTTCTTCCCCTGTTCGATTGTTCTTGCAATATAAAGTTCGGGAAATGATACGAGAAAGAGAGTAAGAGCGAGCATATGCAGTTGTCAAACATACACATTTTGAATTTCAGCTTCTTCATTAAAGTCTTATGCATAGGAGGCTTTCTCCTCCCCTCCTTGGCCATTATCGCGTTTAAAGCTGAGGTCTATGAACACGGACATGTTATATCTCAGTTCATTTCTTAGTTTCCTCTGCCTAGACGGTTTAGTATCTCTCATACTGTTCAAACAATTGAAGGTTGGGATGAGTTTAGTCGGACAAATGCATGTCCAAATTACGGTCTACTGGAAGATTATGGTTCTTTATTCTGCTTCATTTTTATAATTCTCGTAATAGGAGGGTTTTCTGTGTTTCATTAGACTGTTCTTGCAACTGAAGGTTAGGGCAGGAGTTGAGATGGCATTGATCGATGCAGTTGCTAAGAGCATTGGTGTACCTCTATGGAGACTATTTGGTGGAGCTTCAAATACAATAACCACAGATATAACAGTTCAGTTTCTCTCCCTTCATCATTTTCAGTTTACTTCCAGAATTGTCAGTTCAGCCTTCTATGTTTGCAGATTCCTATTGTTTCCCCAGCCGAAGCTGCTGCATTAGCTTCAAAGTATCACAGACAAGGATTCAAAACTTTGAAGCTTAAGGTGGGAAAGAACCTGAAAGCTGACATTGATGTTTTACACGCAATACGTGCTGCCCACCCTGATTGTTCATTCATTCTGGATGCTAATGAGGGATATAGACCTGAGGAGGCTATTAAAGTTCTTAAAAAATTACATGGTACGGAATGTATAAAAGAAAAAAAGTTAAGATTCTGCAACATGCGTACTAGCTATGGCAAAACAAGCACAAACCAACAAGTTATTTGTTTTTGAATGATCTGAAATTTAGATATTTGTAACATTCTCTATCATGAACAACATTTCAGTAGGTTTTTTGTATCTTCAATTTCGTTTTTATAAATCTTAAGCCTTTTCCTTTTCTTTTCATGGCAGAAATGGGAGTGACTCCTGTTCTTTTTGAACAGCCAGTTCATAGAGATGATTGGGAAGGTCTCGGTTGTGTTAGTCATTTCGCGAAAAGCAAATATGGGGTATCTGTTGCTGCAGATGAGAGCTGTCGAAACTTAGCTGATGTTGAGAAAATAGTGCAGGGAGAACTTGCAGATGTTGTTAACATTAAGCTTGCTAAAGTTGGAGTAGTTGGTTCTCTTGAAATCATAGACTTGGCCAGGGCATCAAGCCTAGACCTCATGATTGGCGGTATGGTTGAAACCAGGTTGGCCATGGGCTTTGCAGGCCATCTTGCTGCCGGCCTTGGATGTTTCAAGTGAGTATCTAATTTCTTGTTAAAGAAATGAGTACAACTGTTCAACCATAGCTCGCTCATGTATATGTGGACTGTCATAAATGTGACTTTTCTTCTGTGTTATAAGTTCAATGTAGTTGTTTCAAATTCTAACTTGAAGATATGCTGTGCAGATTTGTTGACTTGGATACTCCCCTTCTGCTGGCTGAGGATCCAGTTCTTGACGGATATGAAGGTATTATATTTTACTTCTTAATTCGACCTTTGGTTCGTCTGGTTTTATGATACAAAATTCGACATTTGACCATGTTTGATTTTTTGTGGCTAGTTCTTGGAGCTGTTTACAAGTTCACAGATGCTACAGGCCATGGTAGTTACCTTCACTGGGAAAATGTAGCATGGTAAGCCTCTAGTTTACCACATAATTTGTTGTAAAAGGGAGCAACTGGCCAAAGATCAAGTAGCAGGGTATTCATATCTGTAAGGGAAGCTTCAATAATAATTCGGGGAGCATTCGGGTAGGAGAATGTAAGATTTTTCGATTTGGTTGATTGAATATAAGATAATTTAAAAATGCATTTTATTTATAGTGTGTTAATGATAAATAAAAATTGAAACAATACTAGTAAATGAAAGTTGACTATGATTTGTGCTCGACTGGAGGTAGATTGAATTTATTCCTTTATTGAAATACGAACAAAGAATACCTCAAACAATCATCAGTGACAGTGTGCTCGATTTGTCACACCGTCAAAAAATAGAATATTTGGAGAAATGCCTCTCAAAATTCATATACGTATATGTATAGAATGGGGGAAGAACTTACAAATTTAAAAGGTTTGAAATTTGATTTCACCCCACCATCCAAGGGCTCTTATCAGCCGGAAATGCAAAATTGAGCTCAAACATCTCCCTTGACATGTTACCACCTTCACTGAACCCTACAAGTTTTGCCACTATTTGAGCACTATCCTCAATGTTTTTGGCATCATGAGGATCTGTCCAGAGCTTGTTTATGAATTGCAGCCTCCTCTGCTTCCGGACCAGTGGTACATTCCATTTAATGTATAATGCATCTCTCTCCGCACTCAAACGCAAGGTCAACCTCTTTGCGAGGAATTCCTTTTCACGCTTCAGGGCTCTAATGCTAACAAAGAAATTTCAAGCAGGGATAAGCTAACAGAATCAACTGAAAGCAACAAGATTTGTGTAGTTGAGAGGGAAAACCTTGATGACAAGGACACAGCACACTCATCTCCTACTAGAGCTGGGCTTGCATTTCCAAGTTCTGCAAAATGGTTCTGCATCCAATTTAAGCGCCTGAGCTCCACTTCCATGTATATTTGGTCGGCAGGGTCTTCCCTGAATAACAATTAAAACTGTGTCCTATGGATGATGGAGACATAGCAGGCGTCCCATAACTCAATAATGTGTTGCCTTTGTTCCCTGAAGGTTACATGCCATGGAACTTGGGGTTCCTCTGGTTCAATCGCACTCTTGTCATCCTCTAAATTCTGTCCAGCCGCTTCGTTTGCTTCCAGTTCAAGCACCTAAAAACAAGTTCAAAATTAAGTAAATTCTCCATAAACGGGAAAAAGAAAAAGAGAGAAGAATGTAAGATACAACATGTAGAAAGGGGAAAAAGCAATTATTTTACCTGACAAACAAGTAGATGCTTCTGGTATTGCAGTTTAGCAACACGCTCTTTCAGTTCAGTTACATATGCTCTTATGCTTCTTACGTTCTCTTCAGCTGCATTCTGAAACATCTTCTGCATTTTCTTCATGTTAACTGAACTTGAACGTCTATATCCTGGAGGCGTGCCTTCCTTTGAAGAGACATCTCCAACCTGTTCACTCTTAGCAGGTGTTCCTTTCTCGGACTCCGGGAGTGTCTCCTTGGAGACAATGTCACCATCCTCTGGTGCTCTGTTTTCTTCATTATCAGTCTCCATAATTTGCTGAGAGGTTGATAGAGGCGAGCATGGAGATTTTATAATTTTTTTCTGGTTTATAACATTACTTGAAGATAAAGGAAGCAAATTCTTCTTTATAGACTGATTCTTAGTTTTGGAGGTTGCTTCATATTTGGATTCCTGATTACTGCTTGGAAGAGACATGACCAATTTGTCTATTTACTTCTGAACATTTTCTAATTGCTCCTCAAGGTTAGCTATTGTGCTACCTTGTAAATGAAGTCTTGTTATCTCTTCCTTGAGGTTAGCACTGATACTTTTGTTAGGAGCTATACCAGTTCCAACTTCAATCTCCTTTTTAATAGACCCGACAGCACACATCTCCCTTATTTCTGCCTGCAGCTTGGCAATTGTCACAGCTGCATCTTGATTACCTAGTCTATGATAAGCCACCTCTTTTTGGAGTACTTCCAGAGCTCGGTTTGCTTCTTCTCCAAGCTGTTCTTGGAGGTGTTACAAGTTTACGAATTTCATGCATAAGTGTGAAAGGGGCAGTTGATGATTGCCTCATAGACTGCCTTAACAATGTTTTCCTCGATTTATCATTATGGCTTAGTTCCTTCCCTTCAAGTTTCGGAGACAACACATCAGAATAAGAAAGACACTTCTTCACTGATGGATGTGGCAACTCAATTGGGTTTGAGGTCTGAATAGATATATTAAACAAACAATAAACAGTTATTTGAAATTAATCAAAAAGAAGAGAGAAAGAAATGAAACAAGGGGATATAGAAGAAAACCTGCTGCTGCTCCTGAAGTTTTTTGCGTAACTCATCCACTTGGAATTGTGCAAGATCTCTTTGGCGCTTCAGTTGTTCAATATCCATTTCCATCTACAAAGCAAATACAGAAAATGTGATTATGGTTTCAGTTTCATTTGCAATATAAAATTATTTCAAATAGCTTATTACCTGTTGTATTTTGAAGTCTTTCTCCCTATATAGATCAGGGGTTCGAAGTTCTGCTTCTAGCCTGGCTACTTCTTTCTGCAGATGTTTGACTAGCTGTTTATTTGAAACAACCTTTCATAAAAAGAGAAAAATGTAATCTTGTCAATTCACTTCAACGTTCATGCATTTGGAAATCCACGTAAATCTCATTAAGCACAAAGAAAAAATGAGTACCATATTGACTTGCGCATTATTTGTAACTTCCTTTGCCCGGGTGGCAAAGAAGAGAGTATTACGAGATTGTTCAAAATGACTTTGTGCTGGACTCAAAGTGCAAATGATGGCAGTACGTGCATTTCCACCAAGTGAATGCTGCAAAATACGAGTAAGCTTCGAGTCTCCATATGGTATATGACCACTTCTTTTTCCAACACTGAAAAGAGAAAATTTTCATTAACAGAAGGGACAATTCAATCATGAATGTAAAATGAAAATTTAACTGTTCAGTCTAGAGAAGACTTAAGAGTATATTTAAGTTGTAGATCTGCATAATTTTTGACAATAAGAATAGCTTAAGAAGATGAGAATTTGCATCTAACTTTATCGAAGTACTGATTATACAACCAAGTATAGAACAGGAAACATTTAGAGAAGTTAATGTAGTTTCATAAGATTTTCGTCAAAAAGAAAAGTTCCCTTCTGTGCAAGATAGGTTGAAGCGCTATTCTAATTGACAATAAAAAATTACAATATGCATTTCCTTTTTCTTCATTGCCTTATTCTTCTTGCATTCATCACAAGAAGAAACCATTGCAGAGTACAAAGTTTTAGACCAGATGAAGGGGCAAATGTCGAGAAATATTATGATAAAGTCATCAAACTGAGGTTAATATGACAGCCTTCCCTGAGCCTTCCATCAGCATGCGTTTGTGAAGCTCTTTCACTTCCAGCTAGATCCACAAAGTTCTGCAAGTGTTACTCCGAACAGTTTGTCATCGGGAGCAAGAATGTATACATCTTTTTTGGGTATACTTAGATAAGATGGGAGTGGTCAAGTGAAACCTCAACCTTGACTTCTATCTAATAACTACCAAAACAAGTGTGGTTCTAAGCTAAAATTTCTCATTTTACCAGAGAAGGGATAAATCGTTCTTACCAGGCTTGCAACAAATGATCTCACACAATCAGAATTTTCACACAGAGTACTTTGAATTGTCTGCATTATTATCCAAACAAATTTATGAGTTAGCTTCCTTAGGGCATTGCGTATATTAAAGGTAGCCAACGGAAATCACCATTCTTACCAGCTTTATTATTTGGTGTGACCTCGAGCTAGTATCATTTAAGGCAGTTTCACCAACTTGCCTTTAGGCTGCAAAATGCCGGTAAAATGATTAGCTTCACATTTAGAAGAGGATGGAAAATTTTCACTTTGTCAAAGCAACAGCATCTTTAGTTACTTTCACAAATGCTAATTAGGTGCCTTAGATGGTGATCGTCACTAACTGTTTCTTCCACCAACTTCTCAACCACAGTAACTTTCTGCGGGCACAGCTTAAAACTTAAAGTTCTAGTAGAGGAAAGATAGAGGACGTTAACAAAAGAGAGGCATTACCTCCGGGTCATCAAGAAGGTTGAGATTGCGGCCGGATTCTGAATTTAGCAGGTCCCTAACATTCTCATTATAAATTTCTAATCCTGAAATTTTAATAGTAAAATCTCTCTGGTGTCTGCAAAATTCAAAGTAAAAAATAAATTGATTACGAAAAATCACGGCCATTTCAATGCAATGTTTTATGTTAAAGCACCAAACTACTCATATAAATGCAAAGCAAATTATAGGTATCAAGAACAATTAGTTCAACCAAGGGAAGTTCAGTCTCACATTCATTATATAGTGGTATATATCATTTACAGCCTTCTCAGTTATTTCAATGCAATGTTTTATGTTTTATGTCTTCCCACTGCTGGTTTGACCATATGCAAATATAGTAGCTGTGCCAGAAATTAAATAATTGAAGTGTTCAGTAAAGGGAACAAAAGACTAATGGACAGGCTTCCCAAATAAAAACGATAGAACAGAAAACACAACTTAGTACCATTTATGCCTCCCAAAGCAGACAAGGCTACACTCTTCACTCCACCATACACAGTTTCATTTAAGCATGAAGGTCAAAAAACTTTATCTGAGCAAACAAAATACAAAAACATCAAACATAAAGTTACCATGAAGCATGAACCAACTTAATAACAAGCTTGTAGTTAAGTTACCAAATGTGAAAGAAGGGGGCTGAGCTGTGCGTTCTTGAGAAGGATGCTTAGAAACAATGGTGTATTCATCTACACAATCCCATGCTACTTGATCTTTGGCCAGTTGCTCCCTTTTACTTACTGGTCTCAACCTTACAGTAACTACAATCTTCTCTTCCATCGATTTCGGGCCTCCAGGGGTTACTGGTGTCCTGTCTATCTTCCTGGCTGGGGTTCCTGGAGTTCTAACTGTCATCTTTTTTTTTTCCTTTTTTTTCTTAATTCCTTTGTGTCTTTGAAAATCAGAAAGACCGAAAGACCAAAGAAATGCAGTCAACCCTCTCACCTCCCGGGCCAAAGGAAATCGATTCAAATCTTAACTGCAAAATTCAATAGAAATAGAAATAATTAGCATATTATAAACAACTATGGAGAAATCTAAAATCAAAAGTCAACACACTGAAAAAACCTATAGATTCAAGTTTGATCTAAACTCCAAAAATTAGATATTAAAAAAGAAAAAGGAGGAAAAACTATCACTCCTTTTGTATAAATCAGTTGAAAAAAAAAGAAAAATAGGAAATAATACGAAAATTAAAGAGGTCACTCATTTTAGCATATCAGAAACAAAATCAACTAAATCCCAAAGGTGGATTCTGAAGTTTTTCTAGAGAATTAAATTTAAAAAAAAAAGGAATCACACATTTGCTAACATAAAAAGTTTCCTTTAATTATCTGAAAAAACTGCAAAATTCAATAGAAATAGAAACAATTAGCATATTATAAACAACTATGGAGAAATCTAAAATCAAAAGTCAACACACTGAAAAAACCTATAGATTCAAGTTTGATCTAAACTCCAAAAATTAGATATTAAAATAGAAAAAGGAGGAAAAACTATCACTCCTTTTGTATAAATCAGTTGAAAAAAAAAGAAAAATAGGAAATAATACGAAAATTAAAGAGGTCACTCATTTTAGCATATCAGAAACAAAATCAACTAAATCCCAAAGGTGGATTCTGAAGTTTTTCTAGAGAATTAAATTTTTTTAAAAAAGGAATCACACATTTGCTAACATAAAAAGTTTCCTTTAATTATCTGAAAATGCTTCATTTTCTGATAATTTGAACTTAATTCAGTATTTACGTACTGGGTATCAGTAATTTCGTAAAAGGAAAGTTTACTTCCTTCAATGGTTTTCCATATCCAACTCAAATCTTACCCAAAACAAACAGAAAGAAAATCTGTCTCTAAGAAAGTTGACAAGCTTACTCAAATTTCTGGATCTGATCAAAAGATTATTTGAGAGTACAGCCAGTGACAGAAGAGTGGAAAGGAGCAGACAAATAGAAGAGAAGATAGATTAGGGTTTGAAACTTTGTCTAATGGGAAAAATGAGATGCCACTGAAGAGAGACGGGACAGCGAACCAATCGATTTGAAAATTAGATCCCAACGGCTAGTTCATTTTCTCGCCAATATTTTTCTTAGTATTTAGTAATATCTTGCGGATTTTTACTTCTTTCTTCTTTTCTTTTCAATTCTCGTACAGATTTATTTTTTAATAATTTGTAATGAATGTGGTATATGTTTATAAATTTGTTAACTAATTAATGATACGTACACCTACAGACGTAAATATTTAAATTTAAAATTTTTAAAAAAGATAATATTTCTTTTTATATTCGATGCATTCTGATATACAAAATTTTGAGTAACTTGGTCTTGCAACTTGCTCATCATTGATATGTGGTAACTACTACAAAAATTTCATACAATAGAGTCGGAATATTGTTGTATACATATAAGAATTTTAACATGATGGAAATGTTTTCAAGTTTTATGCATGTACGAATTTAGAATTATTCTTTAAAATTGACACATATA